CACCACTTCCGGCTTTCTGGTAGTTCATTGGAGATGAGTCTAGTGGACTTTTTTTTTTTTTGCCATGGTTGCTTTGAACTGCGATCCTCAGAGCTCAGCCTCCTGAGTAGCTGGGTCCCAGGAGAGTGGTTCTGTCACGAGAGTTCGATGATGAGCAGACGTGACAGGAAATGACACGCACTGGAATTGCACCTCTGCGAAGCGCCATGTTGACACGAGGCCACCGTCTGCAGGTGTCATGTTCTTAAGTAGCCGGGCTACTTAAGTGAGTCCTGGGCTCGCTTTCTTCCCTGGTTTTACGTCTTTAATCACCACGCAGAGTGTGGCTAAGTTAGACATAATTCTTCACGGGAAAGTATTACTGTTTTGTGCTGTTTTTGTTTCACGCTTTTGCTTGGCATCTTCTGTTAAGGCTGGCCCTCTACCATTTGAGCCACACCGCCAGTTTTTTATTTCTGGTTCGTTGGCAATAAGAGTCTCACAGACTTGCCTGCCTGAGCTGAATACACTTTTACTTATAGAGAAAAGCATAGAGAAAATCAGCAAGCCTACTTACTACAACTCCATTTTTAAAAAGGCACAAAATAATATTGGGGGCATTCTTTTTTGTGCTGGTCCTGGGGCTTGAACTCATGGCCTGAGTGCTGTCCTTGAGCTTTTTTTACCTGAGGATAGCAGTTCACCACTTGAGTCACAGCTCTTCTTCCAGCTGTTTTGGTGTTTAACTAGAGATAAGAGTCTCATGGACTTTCCTGCCCTGGCTGGATTCGAGCCTCAGTCCTCAGCTCTCAGCCTCCTGTGTAGCTAGGATTGCAGGTGTGGGCCACTCGCACCTGGCTGTGCATTCCCTTTTGTTAATACCAAAGCATGAAAACCCAGCTAGTTTTGTTTCATCAGAAGCTGTGTCTACACCATTGTGCCTCTGTTTCCACTTATGTCCATAGCGACCATTCTAGTAATATATTTGGGGGTAACAATGGAAAACATAATTCAGACATTGCATACCTTGTTAATATTTCCCCTAGGGAGAAGACAGCTGTGAGGGCTGCAGGTGAGATCATGAGGCACCCCCCCTTTGTCAGGAATTTACTTTCCATGTCTTTCCTCCTCATAGACTTTCTGTTGCCTGTGGCAGTTCGAGAATAATGTCTGCTTGTTTTCTTAGTCAGATGATTCTAAAGACCAAGACTAAATGATTTATCTTGTCATGTGTCCTGCTCAGTGGCTCAGTGGCCTATTTTGTAACTAATGTGCTTACCCTGCTGTTTGATTGTCCAGCAGAACACAGCCTGGAGGAAGGCAGGGCTGAGGGTGCAGGCAAGGGACTCATTCTGTCTGTGGGAAATTCCCATTTGACCACTGACAAGACAACAAAATCATCATGGGCGAATTTTTGGGTCTTCTGCACCTCTGCATCAGCAGCCTCCAAGTACATGCTATCCTAGAGATTTCAATAATGTAATTTTCACACACTCCTAGAGAATTAGAAAATAGTTCCCATATTTATTTATCTATTTATTTATTTGTCAGTTGTGGGGCCTGTACTCTGGGGCCTGGGTGCTGTCCATCAGCTCTTCAGCTCAAGGCTAGTGCTGTACCACTTGAGCTACAGCACCACTTCTGGCTTTTTCTGCTTAAGTGGTGCTGAGGAATCATACCCAGGGCCTCATGC